TGGAAAAGTTTAAATGCATCATTTAAAACACAAGTAGCAACAATTATTATTTTTAAAGGATATTCTAAAGAGAATTTTAGTTATATTTTTCGACAAACAGCAGCAAATTCAAGTGGAACAGTAGCATATTATCTTTATTTAGGAATGGATAAGAAACAAGTATTAAAAATAGATAATTTAACAGGAGATGTTAATGTTATTAAAAAATAATTGAATTAAAAATTAAAGTGTGATTTTTAAATATTTTGAAGTATCATCATCATGAAGAGGATCTGGATGATATTTTCCACCACACCATGTAACATTTTGTTTTCCAACATTAAATTTCCCACATCTACCATCTTCTTCTGACCAATCTTTAACACATACCCATATATTTCCTAAACAATTAGGAATAACTTTTCCATTAATTAAATGAACAATTGCTATAGCATTGATTTTTCCACCAAAGAAAGAATAATTATTTAATGAAGATAATGAAGTATAAACTAAAATAAAAGAATGAAGATTGAAAGCATTTGGTTCATTATGTGATGATTGTTTTGTTGTCTTCCCTCTTTTTGTTCTTCCAAGTGCATTAAGATCATTAATTGAATCTTTTAATCCAACAGTATATTCTTTTTTAACTGTTTTTCCAACTGACCCATAAAATTCACCAACATTAAATTGATTTTTCTCTGATGATGATTTTCCTTTCTGAATAATAATTCTTCTTTGAAGTGTAATAATAATATTTGATACTAAAAGATCAATAGTATTTAATGATGATTCATTCTCAATTAAATAAAATAATCCATTTCCATTGAATAATTGAGAAGAATTAAATTGAGTTAATTTTGATATGATTGTGTTATTTATATTATTAATTGATGGTTCTATTGAAGCCTTAATAACTTTAAAATTTGTAAGTGCGGTTAATAAAGCATTTATTCTTGTTTCATTATCATCAATATATTTCTTTACTTCTTGTTTAATTGCTTCATACATATTACCATGTTTATAATCAGTTACTGAATTTGGAATAGTTACATAAACTAAATTTAAAAATCTAGGAGCACTAGTTAAATTTGATGAAGATTTCATAAATAGTTTAATATAATTTCTTATTTTTGATTGTGAAGAAAGATTTATATTTGTATTGTCTGAATGAAAAGATAAATTTTGTGAATGAGGATAATCATATGAATCATATGAATCATCCATTACTATAGATTCACTAGAATCAGTATCACTTACCATTGATTGACTTGAACGTATTGGTCGTGCTGGTTTTCGATGGATTGTGTTTGATTCACTAGTAGACATCCTAATTGGTTTGGTATTCATCTATAAATAATTAGATCAATATGACACATTTATATTGTCAACGATATTTCACTATAACAAGAGAAAATGCAATCGCAGATTTTAAAACATATAAATGGATAATAAATTTACCATGGGAATTTATTACATCAGAAAATTATCCTAAAACAATAGAAGTAATGAATTTTGTATATTTTAATTTGAATGGGCAATTAGATATTGGAGTTAGTTGTCATGCTTCATTTAATTATGATTCACCAGAAAATGATCAAATGATATGTTTTTCAACATATGGAAATATGACACCAAAACATTTCAATATTAATAAAAATATAACAAGAATAGAAATATGGTTTAAAGATTATAAAGGAAAGAGTATTTTCCCAGTTGGACTTTGGGATGAATATTTTATCTTAGAACTTAATTTACATTATTAAATGGAAGCAATTGGTTCAAAATATTTAAATAAAAATAATATTTTAACAACACGTTATTTCAACAACAACACATTTTATCTTGATACAATTAAAACAACAGATGGAATAACAACAATTAATGTTAAGAATATAACAACAAATGAAGAAATAGATGAAATGAAAGAGAAAATGAAAGAAACAAATACATATATTAATGATATTCGAGATGATGTATCGCAATTATCAACATTAAATACAACAAATATGAATGAAATTAATAATTTAACAACTCAATTAATATCTTTATCATCTCTTGTTAATACTTCATTATATTCACCATTTTATTCTAATGAAGAAGCATTATTACAAATGACATCTTTAACATCTTACATTAACACAGAAATATCAAAAAATACAACAATTAAACAAGCAGATATAATTAACACAATTGGAATTAAAGATTTGAAGAATATTACATACACATTTCCTTTATCAACATTAATGTCATGGGGAACTGATTCATCAAAAACTTTTAAAAATACAAGTACTGATCATAAAATGTATATCTTTCAATTTATGTTTATGATAAATACTGATACAGATCCACCAAAGAAAACAAAAATTTACTTTAATTCAAATAGAATTGATTCAGGAAATTCATCTACTATTAAAAAATTAGAAGATTATGGTGAATATTATAGTAATGGATATATGATATTCACGACTAAAGAATATGTTAGTACTGTTGGAGTATATATATTAAATTATATTGATGGAACACTTACATATAAAAATGCAGTAGATATAGTTCAATCATCACCAAATCAAAGTTTTTGTTATTTTATTGATTCGAAAACACCATTTGATGTTTGGAATGATGACGAAATAAAGAGATGAACAATTTTATTTAAATATAACTGAGTTATTCTTCATTTATTATGAGTTTTTGTTAATATATAGGATAAAACCTCAATTTAATTAGTATTTAATGCACTCCATCTGATTACTTTCATTCGTAGATAATGAATAAGCGTAGTGGCATAATTGTGATAAGTGGAAGTATAGGAGTTGGAAAAACAACAACAATACAAGCATTAATTGAATATTTTAATAAAGAGAATGTAGGAATAATAGAAGAATATATTGATTATTCACCTAGAATTGGAAAAATGTTAATATCAGATGTAGGGAATGGAATAGAAAGAAATTACACATTACAAAAATTTATTCTTCAATGTTATGAAGAACAATTAAAAAATAATAAAAATAAAAAAGTAATAATTATTGAACGACATCCTCGTGAAGCAATTGAAGTATTTTGTGAAATAGATAAAACAATGACAGAAAAAGAAAGAGAAGAAATTACGAATAAAATATATTTAATAGAAAAAGAATACCAATTAGAATATAATAAATATAATACATATTGTATTTCAACTGATTATGCAACTCCAAATATTATAGCAAGAAATATCTTTACAGAATGGATAAAAAGAGAAAATATAGAAAATGAAACATTTCATGTATTTTTATATGCTAATGAAGAAAATCAAAAGAAAAGAATTATAAAAAGAAATAGAGGAGTTATTTCAGAAATGAATTTTTATTATGTTAATCAAATTAATACTCTTTATAAACATTATTTAAATGAACATTTTACTTCTAAAGAAAATAATGAAGAAACATTATTTATTAAAAAATTACATAAAGATGCAATTATTCCTACAAGAGGAACAGAACAATCAGTAGGTTTTGATTTATATAGCATTGATGATAATATTATTTATCCACATGATAGATGTTTAATTTCTACAGGAATTGCTGTACAAATTCCACATTTCTGTTATGGTAGAGTTGCACCACGTTCATCATTAGCAATTAAATATGGAATTGATATTGGAGGAGGAGTTATTGATGAAGATTATAGAGGAGAAATAAAAGTAATAGTATTTAATCATTCAAATACTATATATAAATGCAAGAAAGGAGATAGAGTTGCACAACTTATTATTGAAAAAATAAAACAATGTAAAATTGAAGAAGTGAAAGAAATAAGTGAAACAATAAGAGGAGAGAAAGGATTTGGATCAACAGGTAAATGAATAATTTTTGATCTTTTTAATTTCATTTAAAAATACAGTATGGAAAATAAAATAATCATTAGTGGAGGAATTGGGACAGGTAAAACAACAATAATAAAAGCATTAGCAAAATACTTTAATCCAGATGAAGTAGGAATAATAGAAGAACATGTCCGATGGGATGAAATAAATAAAGTACTACAAACAACAAGTAAAGAAAATTCAAATAAAAAGAAACATCTCATTGAAATACTTAAAGAATATTTAAATGATTATGAAGAACAAATAGAAAAGAAACAAAATAAAAGAATAATACTTATTGAAAGACAACCAATTGAAGTAATTGATACATTCTGGGATCCAGAAGAAACAGATGATTTATTAAATACTCAAGAAATCAAAATATTAAAAGAACAAGCAAATAAAATAATTACTAAATATATAATAAAATATGAAGAACAAATAGAAGGAATAATGAGAACAAATGAATTATTAACACCAAAAGCATTAGCATCAGAACTATTTTCTAAATGGTTAACAAGAAACTCTCGTTTATCACGTTCATCAATTTATCTAATTTTTCTTGGTGTTAATGATAAAATAATAACTAAAAGAATGAGCACTCATCCATTAAAACCAGAGATACGGTATGATATGAATAATTTATATCTTGAAACATATTCTGCTAATTATCTAAAATATTATAAAGAATTGAATTAATTTTAATTTTAATCTGTTCCTGTTTTTTCTTTAACAAAATATTTGTTATTACAAATATATTCACATCCTCCTTGAACAGTACATCTCCAGAAACAATCTTGACATACAAGCATAATTGGACATCTATCATTTATATCTTCTGTCCATGGATTTTTCAAATAGGGATGAAGTTGTTTAAATGGTAATACTATCACGGCTTCTGTATTTAATATTTTATATAACAAACAATAGTACTGATATGGATCGTTTTTAATAAGATTGAACAATAATAATGGAGATAAGAAGTATCTTAAAAACAATTTTATCTCTAGATAAAAAGAAATCAAATATTTGTTCTTAATTTGTTTAAATTTGGTATAAAAGGTTAATTCAAATCGTCCAATTCCACTTATTATAGGAGTGGTGTATAATGAATATCCGTTCCATAATGTGGAATTACCTTGTGGTGGACTAGCTTTAGCAATTGTTAATTTATCTGATACTTCTATTCCATTAGCTGTAAAGAAATATCCAAATAGAATAGGATCAAAATATGCAACATCTTGTATAGAATAAGAATACTTTTGTTTATTAGTAGGATTATCAACTGGATAAGTCTTCTTGGTTCCATTCATTTTAATATATCTCATTAACTTCCTTTTAGATATCTGTTGGTCTAATTTATCTGTAATTGTAATTCCAGTCTGAGTTGAATCTTGATTATTAGTTATCTCATCTACCTTATCTTCTAAATAAGGCTTAACATAGAATTTAAATGGCTTTGTCATATCATATACTTTATAAGTCTTAGGCTTATTAGGTCCATAATCAAAGTTCTTTAATTTATATCTAGTATCTTTACATGTTAATGTATAATCCATACTTTCTGGATCAGTTGGTAATTCCATTGAATAATAATTATCTTTTTCAAATAACACATGCATATTAAATGTTACTTGTGGATAATATGGTAATCCAGTAGCATATTTATCATAATCAAATGCATTTAAACGTTGTACAGGATCTATAACAAGATTAACAGTACTTCCACCCGTTCAAATAACTTGACTTGAATTAGTAGCAATACTTTTAGGCATATAAGGTAAAGCAACACTCGTTTTAACCTTTGGTATCCATTTAACCTTTACTCCACTAAATTTCCAATAATCATACATATCACAATAAGAATCCCATAGATTTCCCATTACATTATGATCTAAATATGGATTCCATGCTACAAAAATAGGTGGTGATAATGCTATTTGCTCTGTTCTTAAAATACTATTAGCAGTATCTACAGACTGCACAGTCATAAATTTCTGTCCAAGGATATTAAAATCTAATACAGCTTCTTGAACAGGTACAGCAATTCCATTATTAGAAGGATAAGCAGCCATAGTCAATATTTGTGGTAAACTATCTCTCTCAGGAATAGCAATAAACTCTACTATTGAGCAAACAAGCTTACTCTTCAATTTAACAGTATTTGGTTGTGATAACAACCGGCGTCGTCTATAATATCTTCTTCTTTTTCTATATACACGTCGTTTATATACACGCCTACCACGACGAACAGTAGGTCTTTTAGAAGTCTTTCTTCTTGTTGTTCTCTTCTTTAAACGAGCCATATGAGAATTATTAGAAAATGAGGTTTAAATACGTGGTGAATCATCACACTCTATGAGTTTTAAATGAAAAATAAATGAATTATTCATAAAATAAAAATAGAAACTAAAAGAAATAGAAAAAGAATTAGTTAATTAAACTAGTCAAGAGTCACACTCTTCCAAGTGAAGGAGAGAGAATCTTCTTCAGACATCATCTCCCACTCATCAAACCTTCTGGCAATAGCAGCACCATCAGGTCCTTCAAAGCACTCAGCCAAGGAATAATTAGAGGTTACAATAAATTGAAACCTTGGCTCTAATCTGACAGAACCCCCTTTTATTTCAGCTCTAAAAGGGTATCTGTCAGCCCAAAGCTTAATATGATGGACGAGGAGTTTACAGACTTGAGGGTCCAAGTCTTCAATAAGGACTATCTCCTCTCCATCATAATTATCCCACCATTTGTTGGAAAGTTTCTCATAAATTCTATAACCTCTAGACTTTGCATACTCTCTGACAAGACGAGACTTTCCCGTGGCAGATGGACCATATATCCAGGCATTTTTTGAAGATAGTTCACTGTCATAAACAAAATCAGTCTTTGGAATAAATCTTTGGAAAAATCGTTCATATCTACAATACATCAAGCACGCACTATCAATAGTTCCATTTTTAGCTTCTTGGACCATCTGTTTGAAGGTGTCACCAATACCGGTATGAGGAGCAGTGCCATCCTCATAAATAATGTTTCCTTCTTTAATTACATATTCCCGGGCTTGCTGAAAAGTGCCTCGAACAATTTGAATATTAGCTCTCGGGAAAATTCTTTTAATGGTAGATCAACGTTTGGCTGCATTAAACAACACTAAGCAGTGGATATGAGGAGTACCGGTAGTTGGAGCAATTTCTTGGGCAATAATGATATATTTATAATCCAAAGCCTTAAGCGAATATATTTCATTACTATTTGGGTTATTTATAGTAATAAAATATCTTCTGGCTTGGGTAGCAGCATTAGCAACAGGATCAGCAACAAGTGCGACACGCGACATGTGGATTGGTAATATATTCTAATAAAACAGAATAAACAAATAAATAACAAGAAACAAAGAAATAACAAGATAGAAGTGACATTAAGAAATAAAAAGGAATGATAAATAACAAATAAATGAATAGAAAGAAAATGAGAAGATGATAGAAAGAATGAAATGAATAAATTAAAAAGAAAAATAAGAACTTAATAATAAATAAGAGATGTAATAAAATAATAAAATAATAAAAAGAAAAACTTAAAAATCAACAAAAATGGGAATAACACAATCAACATCAAATAACAAATCAAATGACAAAATAAAAGAAATAATCAAACAAATAGAAGAATTAACAGAAAAAAGAATAAACAATATACTATTTGATTCAGATAAAGACAATTGGAATAAAAATACATCAGTATTTAATCAAAGAATAATGAATAAAGAACATATAATAATTATTATTGAAGATTCAGAAGGAAATAAATTTAGAGGATATGTTAATGAGAAAATTGATAAAGTTAATGGTGGTTATGTAAATGATTCAAAATCATTTTTATTTTCATCAGAATCAAAAGGAAGAATTGAAGGAATGAAGAAATTTAATATCGAACAACAACAACGTGCATTTTATTTATATAATCAAACAGATAATTGTTTATTTGAATTTGGATATGGATATAGAGGTGATATTTGTGTTTATAAAGAAAATTATAAAACAAAATCATGGTGTTATCAAAATTCATTTAAATATAAAGGAATTGAAAATGCACTTTGTGGAAAACAATATCCATATCGTTTCACACCAAAACGAATCATAGTAATTGAAATGAAATGATTCAATCTTGATTAATTGAAAATGAAATAAAAAAGAATAAAAACAAAACAATGAAGAATATGAACATTTCATTCATCTGCCAATGAATGAAATGGTGAAATAAAAATTTACATAATTCAATGTTGATTTATTTTATTTCATTTAATGAAATATTCACACCCAATGATTGTGTTTTTAATAAATAATAAAAGAAATAAGAATGAAAGAGAAATAAGATAAAATGAATAAACAATTTATTTGTATTATTTCATTGAATTAAATCATTATGAATCAAATGAATAAGATAATAGAAATAATAATAAGAAACAAATAAAGAAAAGATAAAATACATCAACATATTTATGTTATTATTTCTTATTTCTTTATTTTATTCATTCTTATTTTCTATTTAAACAATAATAATCAAAACATAATAAGAAAGATAAATAAGAATAACACAACATAAAATAAATAATAATAATAATAAAATATACAACAAACATGAATAAACAAGAAATGACAAATGATAAAAGAAGAACTAAATAAAATAACACCAAGAATAAAGAAAATAGAATGAAACGTAAATAAATAGAAATAAATTCAGTGATGATTAGAAAAGAGGAAATGACAAAAAGAAGAAATGAATGATGATTATAAAAGATAAAAATAAAATAATAAATATAAAATCAAAACTAAAATAACATAATAATATAATAACAATATCATTGATTTTATCTTATTTTATTCTTATTTTATTTATCTTCTTTCATTATTTTTATTCTTCTATTTTATTAAATGAAAATGAATGAGAAATGAATAATGAAAATCAGAAACAACACACAAACAAACATTAATACAAAATGAAATAATGAAATATCAAATAATAATTGAATATGATGAATTAATTTAATAAGAAATATAATAAATAATAATACAAAGAATGAAATAAAATAATATGAAATAATAATAAGAAAATAAAAAGATATAAATGATATTAATAATAAATGAAATTATATATAATATAATAATAATGAATTATTCATTCATAAAATAAGAAATAAATAAATGATAATTGAATGAGAATAATTAAATTGATGAAAATTAAACATCAATTAATTCAATTTAAATAAAAGAATAAAGAATAGAAAACCAACATTCTCATTAATTCAAAACTAAATAATAAAAGAAGAAGAAACAATATTAAAGTATAAAGAAAAAACTATTCTCATCTGAATAAAGAATAACAGAAAATAAATAATATCATTTATTTATCTTCATTTTTATTATTGATTGTTGTATTTTATTATTTATTTGTTTTGTCATGAATTAATTAGAACAGTAATGTACTACTGTACCAGAGAAAGTGAAATAGGAAATAACATATTAGATAGATGGTACAGTAAGAAATGAATATGGAATAGAATTAAAAAACATTAATTCATAAAATAAATGAAACAAAAATAGAAGAAATAATAAATGAAGGGATAGAAAAGAAAAAAGAAAAAGAAGTAGTAGTAGAAATAAAGAAATTAATGATAAATACATCAAAAAATGGAAGTGTCATCAAACAAATGGATATTTTAGAAGATGGTTCGAGTCAAAAGGAGTAGATAAAACTACTACAGTGAAAGCATGGAAGTCATTCAATATTAAAAAGAATGCATTTCTACAATTAACTAAAATGCAAGATGGAGCAATATTTTGTGGGTATAAGAAAGCAAAAATAATGAAAAATGAAAGATTGAAATACTGCCCACTATGTAAAGACAAGATAGCAACAGTAGAAAACATTTTACTATCTTATATTTATCATAAAAAATCACAAATAGAAAAACATGACCATATTGGTATTATAATATTGATTAATAAGAAAATATACAGGAAATAATCAATATAAAAAACCTCCATATGAAATAGTGTTCAAATATAAAGACATCACAATGATATGGAACAAACAAATAATGCCTAAAAGTGAATGACAATATCACAAAATACCAGATATATATGTATTAGATAAAAAGAATAAAACTAGTCTATTATTTGATATGACTATTGTGGCTGATCACAATATTAATGGAGCGTATTTGAAGAAAATGAATATGTATAATGAATTAAAGAATATTCTAATGAAAATAGAAAAACTAAAAGATGACAAAATAATTCCAGTAGTAATATCAGTCAATGAATTAATAAATAAAGAAAGTATTAGATTAATTAAAGAAATAAAAATTGAAATTGACATCGAGAAAGAAATTAAAAACCTTGTCATAAAAAACATGATGGATGTCATTGAATACTGCTTCAATCACAACCAAACATACTCTATAGAGCTACAAGAAGAAAGCTCATTGATGTGGTTAATCTTCCCTAATCCAGAAACAATAGAAACTATTTCTGTTAATACTTAATTAATTAAATTTTATTTCATATTGAAATAAATCTGATTTGAATATTATTTTATTTAAATATCTTTTCTATTTATTATTAAATACTTTTGTCAAATAATATTTCTATCTATATTATTCGTGCTTAGTATTTCTTGTCTTGTAATGTTAAATTATTCTTCATTTCTGAAATGTTGAATTTTGGACATTACGTTATATTAAAGTTATTTTTCTTTCTTTCTTTTTTCTTTAAATATTCTTTTTTTTTTAACCCTTTTTTTAATAGTATTTTTATTATTATTTTTTACTATTTTTTCTTTTTGTTTTTCGTTTTTTATTTTAAATTATTTGTTTTATTTATTTTTTTATATTTTTCTGCTTTTATTTCTCTTCTTTGTATCTCCATTACAACATTTAGTTCTTCTATTCTCTTTGTTTTTCTTTACTTCTTAACTAATGTGTTGTACTTTTATATTTGACTTCCTTGTTTTGATATTATTTATATAATTATCACTGTCATGTTTTAGTTGATAAGAAAAACATCTTATGTTAATTTCATTTGTTTGGTTTATCTTATCAACTCTTTTCTTATCATTTGTTGAATTATTTCTTTCACTTCTTCAAAATAAAAATAAAATGTAGTGTATGTTATTTGTTTTCATTTGAATTGCAATGAATGTTCATAATTCTCTTATTTTTATTCTGTTTATTTTTGTTGTTATAATTCCATTAATATTTGTTTGTTTTGTATGTAAATGAATTATAGTAAATGAACAATGTTTCATTTGACTTGTCAGAATATTAAATAATGAAATGAATAAAATATACTTTTAATGACATTTATTTGATTAAGCTAATTGATTAATCCCCATCAATTATAATTTGAATAACAAGTATTTATAAGTAATTACACACTATTTATTGTATAATAATCGTTAAATAATGTTCTTTATGTAAGTTTATCTCCTTTGGTAATAATTTGTTATTTTTATTTCTTTAATTAATTTCTCATTCAAAATCTTTTACTTTAATATCATTATTATCACATCAATTTTTCATTACATTGTCATAACAATGATATTATTGGATTTATAATAATCTTTTGTACTGTCTTGATGTTGTATTAATGTATTTTGTTATTTTACATCATCAAATTTCTTATTATTACACAAAGAATACAAGTATTTTTCATTTATCTAACTTTTTATTATTCATAATACTACATAAATGTTTTAACAAGACTTTTAATAATTAATATGAATAAAATAGATTATCAATACAAAAATAAATGTAATAATGAAATATATATAAATACTTAATGAAATTTGATTTTAGTCATCAACACTATCATTTCTGGTTTTGTTTATATCATCATTTTCATTATATTCATTATTCTTTTATTTTATTGTTTAA